AAACACTCCGCCATCATAGACACAGTAGCCTCAGAGCAGAGCATTGGTGGTGGCCGGTGCTTGAGCGTCAAAGCCTGGCTCAGATGAACAGGATGCCCAACACCACTACTAGTAGAATGCTCTTCAAGTAGACTAGTATTAGTGGGGCTTGAATTGGTCGGTGGTGATGAGAATATAGTCTGACCTTTCTCTCGTGTTAGTCTAAGTGTGTAGACCCAAAGCTGAATCAAAAAGACGAAGAAAAAAGGTTTGACGCGGGTCGGTCGACCAACGAGGTGGATCCGGTCGACCGCGACGCCTGCAGGAAACTAAGAAGAAATCCTCACTCTGTTCGGTCGACCGCGAGAGCTGGTCCGGTCGACCGCGAACGTACACCAAAATCCTGTAAGAAGTTGGTGTTCTGGTCGGTCGACCGCGGGACGTGATCCGGTCGACCGGAGTTGGGTTTTCTTGTTTCCAAATCTGTTCGGGATTCTGTTTTGCTCTGGGATCCTATATATACCTAAACGTTTTTAGGGTTTATAGGACACGTGAAAAAGAGGGTTTTGAGAGGATTCTTTCAGAGAGATATCAAAGAGATAAAAACCTATTTGTGGGTGTTGTAATCTTCTTCAATTAATCAAAGAATTGTGCGGTGTGACTCCCGAGGACGTAGGCACGTTGCCGAACATCGTTAAATCCGGTGTGTTCTTTCTTGCTTACTTTCCTGCAAGTTTCATCTTTTATTTGCGGTGATTTTCCTTTTCCTACTTTCCTACTCTCAAACACAAGGTCCGGAAAGACACGGATTTGATTTGATTGTTTCGAATCCCCCAACACCTCGCAGATTTGCAAATTCACTAGTGCACACATCAACCAAGCTATAGACATTAATTGCAAGCAAACAATAAGCGGAAACTGAGAGCAAGAGGATGACGCGCGTGAATTGTTGAATAAAGAAGTTTGTATATATCGAGAGAATGACGAATGAAAAACGCGACTCCATGGATCTTATCCTTCGGAATACAATGAGCCCAATTGCTAAAAAGAGGCGGCAGTTCAATTTAAGGGTTTACAGGGGCTGCACGCTGCATTTTTGGTGTGTTCTGTGTGCTGCGTTCTTTCGGGAGCTGGTCAACCCAACACACGACAAAGATGCAATCTACCTTTTTAAATAGGGGGTAAAAAACAGAAGTGCTTCTTTGGATACAGCTCGCGAAGAAAATTTATTTTCTTTTCCCTCCAAAGTTGATGGTCATGCTTCCACTTCATATTGTTCTGTAATGATATATGACATGTACCGTAAGGCCCCGTTTGGCAAAATGTCAAGAGAGAGGGGTTAAAGAGAGGAATTAATTTATTTTAGCTCATTCGATAATCTGAACGATAAAATTATTAACCCGTTAAATAAGTTTTATTTTAGCCACTGTGATCAGTTTTAGTGTTTGGGAATAACAATGATTTTGACTATTTTCTTTATAATTAGAAGGGTTAACTCTTAATCCTTCTAAATAGGAGTATTAATAAACCCCTCATTTTGAGAGGTTAACTCGTTTTAATCCCTCTAGAAGGGGTTAGCTTAACTCTTCTATATTTTTTATGTTTGACAAATTATGGAGGGTTAACTCACTTTAACCCTTGTATAGATTTTTTTTTTTTTTGATTGTCAGGTTAAGAAGGGGTTAAGTCTCCTTAAGTCTTCTTAACTCCTCACTTAACCTTTTGTCAAACGGTACCTAAGGGATTACATGGTTATCATCCTTAAACTTTTTATTAACATTTAAACATAGAGCTCTCTCTCTCTCTCACTCTCTCTCTCTCTCATGTGATTTTCACATGACATCAATGTAGTGTAGATAAATTCTCTTATACTTAACTATGGTGTAGATAAACATATACTCGTTATCTCACAAGAGATAACTCGGTTTATTTTCTATGGTTTCAATGCTAATAAAGTAATCTAGACAACGTGATAAGTGGCTAACTTAATTTTGGGCCCCCTTTGGTGCGCTGGAATGAGTGAGAATGAAATGCTCATTCCCACTTCTTATTCACACATATCAAAGATGACATCTTTTTTGAAGTTAGAATGCTCATTTCCCCTTCTCTTTCTATCCCACTCAAGTGAGAATGAAACAAATTAAATTAAATACTAAGTATGAGAATGAAAAAATTTAAACTAAATACTAAATATGTTATGATTACTTATTAATTATTCATACCAAAAAGTGGGAAAAAAATTCATTCTCACTTCATTATCTAATCACACCCAAAATGAGAATGGAAAAGAGCATTCTATTCCCGCACTCATTCCATTCCATTCCATTACTTACTTCATTCCACTTTCACTTGATCCAATTCCTGCGTACCAAACAAGTTGCTAAAGTACAATATATAGTATTATGTGCAATTAACCCTTTTCTTTTATGAGTTCAAAGCAATTTTGACCCGAATAAAATAGAAGTAACACGTACTATTTTCCCACAATATTACATTCATTCTCATTTTATATTCCAAAAGAATCACAACTCTCAAATAGTGAAGGTTTAAGACTTGGGAAAAATGCTTCCAGTCCCCAAAACATAAGAAAACGTGCTCTCCCCTGAAATGATTGATGGGCATTGTTATTTTTTTATTTTCCCCTTTTTATTATTTTCGTTGTTGATGAGAGGAACTAACTGTTTTGTTTATATTGAGAGATTGTTAAGGTTATGGGTTTAATTGTTAAGGTTACGGGTCAATTGTTAAGGTTATGAATCTCTCTCTCTCTCTTTATCATGGTGTTACTGATAGTTAAAATGATTGATGAGAATTGTTATTTTATTATTTTTATTTTTTATTATTTTCGTTGTTGATGAGAGGAACTAATTGTTTTGTTTATATTGAGAGATTATTAAGGTTACGAGTTTAATTGTTAAGGTTATGAGTTTAATTGTTAAGGTTACGGGTCAATGTTAAGGTTATGGATCCATTCTCTCTCTCTCTCTCTCTCTCTCTCTCTCTCTCTCTCTCTCTCTCTCTCTTTAATTGTTAAGGTTACGTGTTTAATTGTTAAGGTTACGGGTTTAATTATTAAGGTTATGAGTTTAATTGTTAAGATTACGGATCAATTCTTAAGGTTACGGGTTTAATTGTTAAGGTTACGGGTTTAATTGTTAAGGTTACAGGTTTAATTGTTAAGGTTACGGGTCAATTTTTAAGGTTACAGGTTTAATTGTTAAGATTACGGGTTTAATTGTTAAGATTACAGGTTTAATTGTTAAGGTTACGGGTTTGATTGTTAAGGTTACGTGTTTAATGGTTAAGGTTACGGGTCAATTATTAAGGTTATGCGTTTAATTGTTAATGTTACGGGCCAATTGTTAAGATTACGAGTTTAATTGTTAAGGTTACGGGTCAATTGTTAAGGTTATGGATCCATTCTCTCTCTCTCTCTCTCTCTCTCTCTTTCTCTCTCTCTTTAATTGTTAAGATTACGAGTTTAATTATTAAGGTTACGGATTTAATTGTTAAGGTTACGGATTTAATTGTTAAGGTTACGGGTCAATTGTTAATGTTACGGGTTTAATTGTTAAGGTTACGGATTTAATTGTTAAGGTTACGGGTCAATTGTTAAGGTTATGGATCACTTCTCTCTCTCTCTAATTGTTAATGTTAATCTACAGCACGTACTTTCGTGTCAAATTTGAAGAAAACGCGCCAAAATTAACTTGGACAATTTGTATAAGCTTTTCAGGTTCAGGAGGTAGTACCGGAATGATTCTATCTATGAATCTAATTAAAGATCGAGCAATGACGCAATGAGATTCATGACACACGTGCAGAAAGCGTTTTCGTTCGTGTATTAATGTTCCATGAATATTTTTACCGTGTTTGTTGAAGCATCACCAAAAGGAATTGGGTACAAGCACTACGTCGCGTTACCAACTATAGAAATGAATTTTATGCTGAGAAATGAATGTGATGATACGGTGCAGAACGTTCAAATTAAAATTTCAATTGTTCAAAGGATTTGGCAAATTAAAGAATAATCCACATTATAAATATACACAAATTAAGAAGAGCTCCGGAACCAAAAATACAGATGTGATTGCCTCTGTGCCATCAAAAAGAGGCGGAAATCGCCCAGGCTATGGCGCTCAACACATTTCAGAAGCTCAAGAGTTCAATGATCCTCAGGTTAGCTTCTTCTCACACAGCTAGCACGACTTTTCCCCTATTTTTCGTAAATTAAAGTACGTGTCTGGCTAATCTTGTATATATACCCTATATTTTGTTTATGTATCCCAAATAAATAAATAAATAAATAATGTGCATATATATGTGATCTTGCAGGGATCGATCGACCCCTCTGCCAACAAGAGGACTGCTTCAATTCGACTTACTGAGGCGATCGATGCTCCTCGATCTTGTGGAGGAGTTAGTTTCCCTTTTCATGCATGTATATATGGAGCTTTTCCACGTACGTGTGGTGGGAGCTTGTGGGGTTACGAGATCGTTTACAGGACATGTATCAAATATAATGGGTTACATCAAGGATGGTGGACACGACATTATGATCCCTAAAATATAACCCGGCCAATGTTTTAAATTAATGTGTCCTAAAACCTTTTGTAGCCCCACATCTCCCTCCCACCGTATAACTCTTATCTAAAACATCTATCCGTTTCTTTTTCTTTTTTACAAAATAGCAATAAGACATTATTGTTGCTTTGTAAACATAGTTGTTGTAAGATATGAGCTTGACAATAATGCATGTAATCATGTGTTTAAAACATATACATTTAGATAGAAGCTCCGGTAGATGTCTAATTCTCAGGCTGCCTGCCAAAACAAGAAGCAATGATACACCTAATTAAGAAGAAATCATGAAAAATATCTAAAGATAGATCTTCATCTCAATAGGAAAATTTTATTATTTACTATGTTTGACATAGTACTCATGCTGGTATTTACTATCAGGGTTAACTTTCTAAAACATTTTCCAAAACCAAAAGCTCAGCACTTTGGCAAGGTACGTAGAATAAGAAAGTGTGGATCAATCCTCAAAATTCCATTGGAAATAGAATATATTCATACAGATACAAATGTGGAAATCAGTAAAATACAGGTTTACTTATCTGACTGGCAAAAAAAAAAAATTGGAATTGATCTAACGCAAACTGTAATTCCCCGAAGAAATGATGGCCTTGAGCGCGTCTCTGACAAATGGATACTTAAAGGAAAACCCTAATTCCTTGGCTTTCACAGGGAGCACCTTCTGCCCATCCAGAACCTATGATTATTCAACCATTATATAAAATTACTCTGGTGACAATATTCTAATCAGTGAAAATAACAGCTTGTAAACTAAATGATGGAAACATGAAGAGCACATACAATAGTGGCGCCTTCACCCATGACAGCTTTAAGAGCAAAATCCGGTACTGGGAGCCAAGATGGCCGGCCCATTACTTGACCTAGTTGTTCACACATCTCTGACAATCGAACTGGGTTGGGTGCAGTTCCATTGATTACACCTGCACAATATGAATATCATGCACCAGCTTATTTTACTGAAAACTTTATGCAGAGATCTACAACATTCTATGTGAACTAAAAGGGTCTCTGATAGTTCTCACTAGCTCCGGGAAGTAATCATAGCTAGAATTTTGGAGGGAGGAACCATGGAGAACTCTTTAGTTATGCCATCGACTAAAGGATGTCGAATGAGTTTAAGAACTTTCTTTTATGAGTAAATTCTCTCTCCAACAGTACAAAGGGTTTAGACAGGTCCAATGTTTTAAATACTTTCCTTTTTAACATAATTTCTTATGATCCATAATGATGAGCAAAAAGAGACCTGTATATGATGGGTTCACTATAGCTTCATAAATAAGGTTCACCAAGTCGTCCAAGTGAATCCATGAAAACCTGCAAAAATGAGTTGCATATTTAGAGATATAAGAAACTGATGAGAAAATGATATCTAATACGAAATATTCAGGTATTCATTATATGTGAATTCATGATCCTTATTAACTCAAAGGAACCCCAAAAAAAAAATTGAAATCTTTGCAAACAAATCAGAGACTTCTTTCAGGCTGGTTGCCGATAATCTGTAAGCGGTTTGATTAGAAGTAGTTAGATCATTGTCTTTATTACCATCATCGTCATTCCCACCATCCAAATGTTTTCCCATCAAATGTATGCTACCTTTAATAGAAAAGAAACATTCTATGCAATTCAATTTCCTGCTCAAGAAAGATGCAGGAAACAAAGGAATTTTCAAAATACCTAGAAAGGGGAAGGAAGGAAGCTTATCCTACTTCTGCAAAGAAAAATAAGCTGTCTTTCCTTCTGTAAGCATGAGAGTGCACTGAACAACAAAAGACTTCAATGAAACATCCCAAATATGTACAACAACATAACAGGTACATACAATACATCAATTAAACCAAAAAGGAAAAAAAAATCAGATACAACAAGAAAAAAAGTCATGCCAACAGAAGGCCGAGAAGTCTCAATTTTAGTTCTTTGACCCAAGAAAAATAAGTTGTGTACCTTAAAATTCACGATTTTCATAGGCTACCCGGGATTTTTGTTAATTTTCATAGATTTTGACCGAATGACAAACAAGCATATGTACTTCAAAGTTCATGATTTGCATTAGATGTAACCCATGATTTTGTGCAATTTTGCTCTTTTCACCAACTGGCAATTAAACTAAGCATATTCATAAATTCACAATTTCATGCTCTATGAACACAATATTTGGTCATTTTTGTTCATTTCAATCCAATGGCAACCAATCATGTGTACCAAAAAAAATCACGATTTTCATGGGCTATAACCCATGATTTTAGTCTATTTTTGTTAGTTTCGATCCAATGACAATTAAATTTTCTTTCATAAAAAATCGTGATTTCCATAAGCTATAACGCACGATTTTTTTAATTTTAGTTATTCAACCCAATAGTAAATAACTATGGGTACTTCAAAACTTGTTATATTCATGGTCTAGTCCATGATTTTTGTTCACATTTGTTCGTTTCAATCCAATAGCAATTAATAGTACGACCTTCAATATTCATGGTTTTCACTAGTTATAACCCATGATTTTTGTCCTTTATTATTCGTTCGACTCAATACCAAGTAATCACACCCATGATTTTTGCCATTTTTTGTTCATTTCATCCCGACGTAGAGTTATTATACGTACTTTAAAATTCGTTATTTTCATGGGTTTGTCAATTTTCATCCTTTTTAACCAAATGACAATTAATTATGCATACTTTAACATTGGCGATCTTCACAGGCTATTTACCCACAATTTTTAAAATTCGTAAATTTCATTGGCTATAACCCTTGACTTTTGTTAATTTTCATCTGTTTCGACTCATTGACAATAAAGTTTTAGTTCACCAAAAATGATAATTTTCATGGGCAACCAATGATTTTTTTGGGGGGTTTTTGCTTTTAGACCCATTTGTTTACTCCTATTTATCTTTAAACCCAAGTACTATTATTTGTATCTTTAAGCCCAATTTATCTTTTGTATTTATCTTTAAACCCAATCTTCAAAATACTATATTTTCACCACTTGTTTTTATATTTTGGAGATTGGGTTTAAAGATAAATACAAAATGTGAATTGGGCTTAAAGATAAAAATAATAATACTTGGGTTTAAAGATAAATGGAAGTAAACAAATGGGTCTAAAAGCAAAAACCCCTTTTTTTTTAATTATCGGCCCTTCACCTAATGGCAAATTAGTAAGTGTACCTTAACTTTCACAATTTTCATGGGCTTATAACCAATGATACTTGGTCATTACGTTTGTTTCGACCCCATGACAATTAATTATGCATACAAAAAATTTATTAATTTTCATTTGTCTTAACCTAATGACAAATAAGTACTTGTACTTCAAAAATTCATGCTTTTCATTAGTTATAATCCACGATTTTTGTTCGATTTTCTACTTTTTAACTCAATGACAATTAACTAAGCATATGTCGAAATTCGCGATTTCATGAACTATTTCCTATGATATTTGCTTATTTCATTTTTGTTTCAATCCTATGGGGATTAATCAAGTGTACCAAAAAAAATGGCGATTTCGTGGGTTATACTCCGTGATTTTAGTCTAATTTCGTTAGTTTCGACCCAATGGTGATTAAATTTTCTATCATGAAAAGTTGTGACTTTGACTATAATGCATGATTTTCATTAATAGACCTAACAATGAATAAGTATGAGCACTTCAAATTTTGTTATTTTCACAGGCTAGTCCATGATTTTATCCATTTTCATTTGTTACAATCAAGTAGCAATTAACTATGCGAACTTCAGTATCTGTGATTTTCATGAGCTGTAACCCACGATTTTTTGCATTATCATTCATTCGACCCAATCCACTTATGAGAACTTCAAAAGTCGTGATTTTCAAGGGTTATAACCCACGATTTTGTCATTTTTCATTTGTTTCATCCTAGTGGAGGGTAGTTATACACACTTTAAATTCGTAATTTTTATGGATTATAACTAATGATTTTCGTCAATCTTCATCCTTTTCAACCCAACAGCAATTAATTATGAATACTAAAACCATTGCGATTGTCATGGACTATTACCCATGATTTTCAAAATTCGTGAATTTCATTAACTATAAGCCATGATTTTTGTTAATTTTTATTTTGTTTCGACCAAAGGACAATTACCTGTTTTATTTCTTCAAAAATTTCAATCTTCATGGGCTTTATAACTAACGATTTTGTAAATTCTCGATCTTTGACCCAATGGCAAATAAGCATGTGTGCCATAAGTTTCACAATTTTCATGGGCTCTGACCCAAGGTGTTTATTAATTTTCATTTGTCTTGACTTAATGAAAATTAAGTATTTGCACTTTGAAATTCATGATTTTCATTAGTTATAAACCATGATTTTTGTCCAATTTTGTCTTCGACCCAATGGCAATTAACTCGGCATATTACAAAATCTGCGATTTTCTTAGGTTATAACTCATGATTTTAGTCTATTTTCGATAATTTTGACCCAAAGGTAATTAAATTTTCTTTCCTCAAAAGTCACGATTTTCATGGGCTATAATGCACTATCTTAGTAAATTTTTATTTGACTTAATGCACTATCTTAGTAAATTTTTTATTTGACTCAAAAGTCACGATTTTCATGGGCTATAATGCACTATCTTAGTAAATTTTTATTTGACTTAATGGCAAATAAGTATGGGTAGTTCGAAATTTATTATTGTCATGGACTAGTCCATGATTCTTGTCCCCTTTTGTTCTTTTCGATCCAATAGTAATTAATTGTGTGAACTTCAATATTATAATTTTCATGAGCTATAACTCACAATCTTCGTCCATTATCATTCATTCGACCCAATTGCAACTAATTATGACAAATTTAAAATTTGTGATTTGTGAGGACTATAGCCCAGATTTTTGTTCATTTTCATCCTTCTCAACATAACGGCAATTAATTATGCATACTTTAACATTCAAGATTTTCATAAGCTATTACCCACAGCAAATATGTATAAGTTTTGTTAATTTTTTCGTTTTTGACCTAACAGTAAATAAGTATGCATACCTTAAATTTCACCATTTTCATGACTATAACCTATGATTTTATTAATTTTCATTTATCTTGACCTAATGACAAATAAATATTTGTACTTTGAAATTCATGATTTTCATTAGTTTTAACCCACGAATTTTGTCTAATTTTATTCTTTTCGACCTAGTGGCAATTAACTATGCATATTTTAAAATTCGTGATTTTATGGGCTATTACCGACGATGCTTGCTCATTTACGTTAATTTTGGCCCAATAGTAATTAATCATGCATATCAAAAAGTTTGCAATTATCGTAGATTATAACTCATGATTTTATTCTATTTAAGTTACTTTCGACCAATGGCAATTAAATTTTTCTTTCATAAAAATCACGAGTTTCATGGGCTATAACGCGCAATTTTTGTTATTCTCAATGTCAACTAAGTGTGGGCACTTCAAATTTTATTATTTTCACAGGCCAATCTGCGATTTGTGTCCACTTTTATTTGTTTCAATCCAATAGCAATTAATTGTGTGAACTTCAATATTCGCATTTTTCATAAGCTATAACCCAAGATCATTGCCCGTTATCATTCGTTCGACCTAATGACAAGTAATTATCACCACTTCAAAATTCACAATATTCATGGGTTAACCCACATTTTGTCAATTTTATTCATTTTGTCAAATAGAAAATAATTATGCGAGCTTCAATATTCATGATTTCATGAGCTATAACTCACGATTTTTATCCATTATCTTTTATTCGATCCAATGACAAGTAATTATGGGTCTATAACTACTTCAAAATTCGCGATTTTTATGGGTTACCACAATTTTGCCATTTTTCATTCATTTCGTCCAAATAGAGGGTAATTATATGTACTTCAAAATTCAGAAATTTCAATCATTATAACCTATTTTCATAACTTTTTGTCTTTTTTAACCTAATAGCAATTAATTATGAATATTGCAATAATCACGATTTTCATGGGCCATTACCTATAATTTTCAAAATTCGTGTACTTCAACTACTATAACCCATGAATTTTTTAAATTTTCGTTCATGTTGACTAAGTTTTTTTTTAATTGTGATTTTCATGGCCTTTATAACTAACAATTTTTGTAAATTTTCGATCTTTAACCTAACAGAAAAGAAGTGTGTACCTTAAATCTCATGATTTTCATAAGCTCCAACTCATGATTTTTATTAAATTTTTTTCATCTTGACTCAATGAATAATGAGTATTTGTACTTCGAAATTTATGTTTTTCATTAGCTATAACCCATGATTTTGTTCATTATTGTTCTTTTCGACCTAATGCCAATTAACTAAGCATATTTCAAATTCGTGACTTCAGGGGCTATAACTCACGATATTTGCTAACTAGAAACTTATGAACAGTCATGTTTGTTAATCACTTAATTGTTACTTAAAAATACATATGTTATATTTTAAATAAAAATACATATTTCTTGTTATTTGCTTGTTTGGTTTCGTAGACTTTTGCTTATGTTGAAGAATATCTTGCATTTTGAATTGCGAAAACTTATAAATTTCACTATGTTATGCATGCTGATTAAAACTCTTTCGTGATTTAGTAGGTGAAGTTATATTTCTTAGTCTTTTTATGTGATAATTTATAAATATGTTGCTTATATGCTTATTTGTCTTATGTTGAAAAATATTTGTTTGAGGTGTGCACCTCAATTCAGTGAGGTGCATGCATCGTTGTGCGCCTTGCGCATGGTGCGCGTAAGGAGCATTTGCGCCTTGCGCCTCGATAACACTGATTCAATCCAATGGCAAATAAGTATAAGTACTTTAAATTTGTTATTTTCGTGGGCTAGTCCTTGATTTTTGTCCATTTTTTAGTGTTACGGTCCAATAAAAATTAATTGTGCGAACTTCAACATTCATGATTATTATGGGCTATTACCCACGATTTTCAAAATTTGTGAAATTCATTAGTTACCCCGTGATTTTTGTTAATTTTTCTTCATTTCGACCCAATGACAATTAAGTTTTATTTCTTCAAAAATAGAGTATCATGGGCTATAACCAATAATTTTTGTAAAGTTTTGATCTTTGACCCAATTGCATATAAGTATGTGTATATTAGTTGACACAAGTTTCATGGACTATAACCCATGATTTTTTTTAATTATCGTCTATCTTGACCCAATGACAAATAAGTATTTGTATCTCAAATTTTAGGATTTTCAGTAGTTATAACCCACGATTTTTGTCTAATGTTATTGTTTTCGACCAAATGGCAATTAACTAAGCATATTTTAAAATTCACAATTTCATGGGCTATATAACCCACGATATTTGCTCATTTTTGCTTGTTTCAACCTAATGGCAATTAATCAAGCGTACCAAAAAATTCACGGTTTTTGTGAATTATAACACAATTTTAATCTATGTTTGTTGGTTTCGATCCAATGGCTATTAAATCATCTTTCATGAAAATTTATGATCTTCATGGGCTATAATGCATGATTTTTTAAAATTTTTAATATTTGACCAAATAGCAAATAAGTAAGGGTACCTTAAATTCGTTATTTACATGGGCTAGTCCATGATTTTTGTCCAGTATCATTCATTCGACCCAATGGCAAGTATTTATGGCTACTTCAAATTTGGTGATTTTCATGGGTAATCCATGATTTTACCATCTTTTGTTTGTTTTGTCCTATTGGAGAGTAATTATATTTACTTTAAAATTTGCAATTTCTATAGGTTATATAACCCACGATTTTTGTGAATTTTGGTCCTTTTCAACCTAATGACATCTAATTATGCATAGTTCAATATTTGCAATTTTCATAGGCTATTACCCATGATTTTTGAATTTTGTGAATTTCAATCGCTATAACCCATGATTTTATTTTTTTCATTTACACTGAATGACAATTAAGTTTTATTTCATCAAAATGTCGATTTTCATGGGCTATAAGCCTATAACCAATGATTTTTTGTTAATTTTTATTCTATGACATAATGGTGCGTACCTTAAATTTCAAGATTTTTATGAAATATAACCCACAAGTTCGCCTTGACTCAATAACAAAGAAGTATTTGCATTTCGAAGTTCATGATTTACATTAGTATATAACTCACGATTTTTGTCCCATATTTCAAATTTGTAATTTCATAGGTTATAATTTTGCTCATTTTCATTTGGTTCGACACGATGGCAATTAATCTTGCATACTGAAAAAACTCGCGATTTTCATAGGTTATATAACCCATAATTTTAGTCTATTTTCATTAGTTTTGACTTTTTGGCAATTAAATTTTCTTTTTGTCATGGGCAACACACGAGTTTTGTATTTTTTGTTATTCGACCCAGTGGAAAATAAGTATGGGTATTTCAAAATTCATATTTTTCATAAGAGTTTATAATTTTTGTCCATTTTTGTTTGTTTTGACCTACTTACAATTAATTGTGCGAACTTCAATAGTCACAATTTTCATAAGCTATAACCGACGATTTTTATCGATTATCGTTTATTCGGCCCAATGGCAATTATTTATAACTAGTTCAAAATTCGTGATTTTGATGGATTATAACCCACGATTTTGGTAATGTTTATCTATTTCGTCCTAATGGCAAGTAATTATATGCAACTTAAAATTCATAATTTTTATGGGTTATAACCCAGTTTTCATGACTAGTATAATGCACGTGTTTTGCACGTGAAAGTACATGCTTTAAGTTTTAAATTTTTTATTGAATAATAAAACTATGTGTTAATAAATAAATTGTATAATAAGATTGCTTAAAAGAAATATAAAAATTAATTATTATCGTGTAGTTATTGTAATTGAATATTTTTCTTATATTGATCGCCCAGTGTTAACTTTTCAAAATAAGTTCCCGAGTCTAAAGTGGTTCTTAAATAAAATTGTCAATTATATGCGTTCTCTTAAATATGTCCCTCCAACTTAAAAGTTGTTAACTTATCTCTAAATTTACTAAGTTGCGTTAATCTTGCTAGTTTTCTCCTGATGTTACCTAAATAGTTACACTTGATACATATAACATATTGCAATAGTTACTTCTCATTATAATTATTATATGAAATCAATTACACTAAACTCTTATGAATTTTCAACCCATATAAACTTCTAAAATTATACTAAACCCCTAATGACTTTTCTATTTCAAAGAGGGCCGTTAATAACTTTCTGAATTTTACAGATAACCCTTATAAATTAGAACTAGAAAATGGCATAAAACGATATTTTTGAAAGTTTGGTGTAATTTATCTAAAAGTTATTGGGGGCTCTTTACAAAAGTTATTAGGGGTTTAGTGTGATTTCAAAAGTTCATAGGATCGATTTACTGCAAAATGCTGAAAGTTAATGAGGATTTACTGTAATTTGCCTTATTTAATATTATAATTTCTAGTTCAAGCAATACTATTAAAATAATTATAGTATCTATATACTATAAAAATTTTATCTAATTTAATTTTTTGAGTTATGCTCTTAGATTATTTAGTACTATAAATATTTTATAAAATTTTTATTATACTATCATTAATAATTAATAGTACTATTATTATTATTTAATTATTTAATTAATTTTTAATCATTACCAAGTATAGATTATTCAGCATCATGTAATAATATTTAAGAAAATACTCTAAAAATATTATCAAATTATTTATTTCATTTATTTAATAACATAATACTAAATAAATAGTGTAATTCATAATTTATGTGATATTATTATAATAATTACACCACTTACGCAATTCAAAATTCATTCTATTAATTTTATTGCTCATTGAATTATAGTATAATTCTTAATAGTATTTAGTAATATATAATTCTATTTATACTACTATTTTAATTATTTTATTATAATTCATAAATAATTATTATAATAATTTAATTGGTTACTACTAATAATTGTGTATACTTATTTTATAAATTACTTTGTTTTATTATTTTTAAACGATTAATAGTTTTTATATTATTGATAATTATAATTAATTAGGAAGCTGAGGAGGTGCATAATTAATAAGAGGTTATATTTATTTAATGAAAGATTAATTAGAGATAATGATATCGTTAGAATTTATCAAAATTTGTGAGGGAAAAAATAGAAATTAAAAGTTTTAACATCTCAATCCTCTTTTTATAGCTCTTTTTGTCAATTTTCATCTTTTTCAACCCAAGGGCCATTAATTATGTGACTTCTAAATTTTGCGAGTTTCATTGGCTATATATAACCCATGATTTTTGTTAATTTTCCTTTTGTTTTGACCTAATGGCAATTAAGTTTCATTTCATCAAAAATAGTAATTTTCATCAGCTAAAACCATGATTTTTATCAATTTTTGTTCTTTGACCCAATAGCAAATACATATTCGTACCTTTAATTTTTCAATTTTCAAAAATTTTTATTTTTTCTAAATTCATGTACCTGAATTCATGATATTCATGGGCTATAACTCATGAGTTTTGTCAATTTTCTTTCATTTTGACCCAGTTCAATCAATCATGCGTACTTCAAAATTCATGATTTTCATGGTTTATAACCAATTATTTTGGTCTATTTTTGTTTGTCAACCCGAAGGCAATCAAGTTTTTTGTCTTAAAAAATATTATTTTCATGATATAGCTCACGATTTTTGTGAATTTTCATGCTTTTACCCAAGGACAAACAAGTATTTGCAGTTTAAAATTCACTATTTTCATGGATAACCCATGCTTTTTATCCATTTTTTTCATTTAGAAGACTATTACTTGTGGATTGTGGCCATCGATGTCATCTTAATATATCATTATTAGAGAAGGAAGCTTTTGTCCTTCAAAGTTGATTGGGGTGTCACTTTGGGAAATAGAGAACAAAATATAAGTAGCTTCCAATACTCTGTGAATTGCAGGTGAGCATAAATAGAACCTAGAAAATATTTAGTGTGCAAATGTTACATAACTAGTATTCATATAGAATTTCTTGTAGTTGTATCTTAAAAAAAGCTGTATTTCTTCTGGTTATATGAGTAGAAATATTTGATTTTTTTAAAAGAACTTGAAGCTCACCATTGTTGGCCATTGCCCAAAGGTCCTCCAGCAAACATCATGAAGAGAGGAATCATTTTGGCTGCAGCATGACACATAGAAGAAATTAGTACAGGTCTAAAACAGAAAAGATACTCCCAAATAAACTATCACATGAATACATGGGAGATTGCGCTTGAGCCTAGATGAGAATAATGAGAGGTCTGAGAACTGCATGCATTTTTCAGAAAATAAATGGAACGGTAGCATTTCCGTACTTGTTTCATCATCTCTAGGTGGACAGGAACAAGCAGGTTGGGCTTGAAGGCCTGACACTAATAATGTCAAAGAACTTCATATATGAGAAATTCATACTGCACCGTTTATGTCCAAATTTGAGACATTAGGGTCATTAAGAGGTATCAATTGAAGACCAAGGCTAAACTATGATGGTTACTGGAGGTATCAATTGAAAACCAAGGCTAAACTATGATGGTTACTGTAATGACTGTCTTCTGATATAATGACTGTCTTCTGATATAAAATTTGTGCCTGTGAAGCAACTATTCTTTTGCAGAATTCAAAACACAGCACCCATTTGAATAAATTGCATACAAGAATATGGTATGTAGCATACGTGCATAAATCACAAAATCCTGAAAAGAAATTGAACGAACCTAGAGCACCGCCATCTTTTCCAAGAACAACACCAATGCGGATAAGTGCCAACCTAACATCTTTATCTACTTCAAGAGCCTTTCCTTCCCATTCTCTACAAACCTAGAAGTACATTATATAAAAGAAAAGAATAAACGCAGTAGGCAGAATGGAATGAAGGAAAGCATGTGGATTTCAACTGTGAAAAGAAAAATAGTTCCCTTACATTTACATGAATAACATACTTCTAATAGTACTGCATGAGACATACTGGTTTTTAATTTTATACTATAATGTTACTTATGACTGAAATACTTTATGTTCTTCACACCTTTTTATCATTGCCATAATGGAATAATCTCATGCTGAGGTCGGTACAAAAGGACCAATGAGGATGGTCATAAGAGAAATATGCATGCAAAGTTTGGAACGTATCAAGTTCTAGGAAAAAACTGAGATCACAAATTGATGTTTCCTCTGAATCCAAACGTGAAGTATCATGTGTTATGGTAATATCAGACACAAAACTAGATCTGCTGTAGAGCATTTATAATTTTACAATTAACGACCAAGAGCATGTGTAAATAAATTATATTCATAATCGAGAATTTGACTTTACGGTCTGAACCTCTTCAGCAACCAAATAAGTTTCATAAAGGATTTTATCTCTCTCCCATTAATTCCATGACAATCTAATATTTCTTCGATCATATACTATCGTATGCATAGATTTTCTGGAAATAGATGAAGATCGTATGTAAAATATAAACAAACAAAGTAACATGAAGCAAACAAGCCAACACAATGTGCACACAATTATGTGTCACAATCACTTAACAAATATCTGCAGTCTGCTGGCAGTAAAAAGAAAGGAGAAAAACTAAATAGATTCATTGACAATACAGAACCTCTGCTAAGTAGTCATTTCCTGATGGGCTTGTCTCATCAAAAGCCTGAGTTTCACTTGTCCCTGACAATGTTCAGTGAAAAGGATATGTTAGATGATATTTCAAAAAATTTCTATTACGTAAGCATCTCAATGTATTCTCCTAAAAAATAATGATTTGCATGGATAATAAGGTATATTAGGTACATATGAAGTACGTAGTGTCATTTCACATTCATTCAATGTAAGCAGTAATCATGCCATCAGATCTTAAAAGATTGGTATTATGATGTGGGTGCAGTTTGCTAAGAATAGTTTAGTTTTGCAAAATATGATAATATATAAAGCAAGAAAATAATATCATTTTCTTGAGAACTAAAATGGGGAAAAAAAAAGTTGGCACATCATTATTTACGCACCATAGTAACCAATGGCTGTTGCACTAACCAAGACCGAAGGTCGAAGTTCCACATTTGTTTTGTTTATCAAATCTACAACCTTACATTCAAGAAGCATTGTCAGTGTTAAATCAAAAGCAAGAAGAACCTTTTCTTAGTTCTCCAATGAAGTCTATTGATCTACTAGTAATTAATGGACCATGAAGCAACTATGCACTTGTAAAATGCAGATTGTTTGTTAGTAAGTTTATGAAAGAAAAAACCTTTGCTGTAACTCTAATACGGCTTTGTTTAATCTCCTTTTTAATCTGCAAGCACAATAACCAAGATCATGTTAATTATTACTGAAAGTATCATGTATCTTAACGCTGATAACTTCATAAATTAGAAGTGGGATATTCACAGTTTATCTATTGAATTTAGAAATTTGTACAAAACATGGATTACCAAGTTACACCAGTTAAGCACATATTAAAAAGGAACAGACCTCCATGTTCTCGACTAAGAGAGAATGAAGGAGAACTTAATATAAACTCCTTGTCATATGTAACATGCAATATCAGACGTAGGATAAAAAAGAAAAACAATAGGCCCTTCCCACTGGGGGTGAATACAGTTCGTATGGGGCTCTTGTATGATACTTACCATATCTGTATCCGCTTACCAATACGGATACGGATACGGATAAGTCTTGGTAAGAAAATTTCATATTCATATCTGCTAAAATCGGATATAGATATGGATACGGATGTATATAAGCGGACACACATGTAGATACAAAATAGATATGAGAAAACTAAATATTATTGAAAAAAAATATGGTGCATATGGTACAAGAGAGCTAATCAGTATGTTCCTTATATCCAAGAAGCTAAGATTAAGTCTTTTGATCATCAGAATTTACCTCAAATCCATTAACTAAGGATTAAAACTATTGAAACTGTATGTCCAACACATATTCAGATAACTCGGATACGGGTCCGGATATTTCACTACATATCCGTATCCATAACCATATCCTATAGGATATAGATTTTAGTAACCATATCAACATCCTAACAAATACGGATACGAATCTTTCCTCGGATACGGACATTTTTGTACACCCCTATCTCCCACCCAACGCTACCTAAGAAATATAAATAGGATATTGAAGAAATTCATTCAAGAACAGAGAGGAGATGAAAGGAAACACACCTCAGGTGACCATCTCGTACTTATAGGCATTCCAGCCAAGTTCACAACGGCGTCTGAACCTTGAATGCAATTTTTCCATTCTACTTCCTCAGCAATTGTAATTTTGGAAAATTTCTCAACTGCAGTTACAACAACCAACTTGTATAAGGAAACAGAAAAATCCACAATGGACAACAGAATTTATTTGGAACTTCTTAGGCGAAAGAACTGGCTGAACATTGTCTAAGCAATGTTAACAAAAATATGGAAATAGATATGAAACACATAAAGAAATCTTAATCATCATCATCCAAGCCTTTTTCACCAAAATGGGTCATCTATGGAGCATTACCCAAAGTTAAGAATGCTCCACAAAAAAAGCAGCTGAGCTTTTTCACATCTATAAACCAAATGTAAAATGTCAATAAAATAAGCCAAATTCCTTGACAAATACTTAAGAACATGAACATAACCTGTTAGCCAATTAGCAAGTAGCTAGACCTGATAATTTTGTTCTCTCTTCCTCTCTTATTATTTCCTTCCTTTTAATTTTGTGACTGCTTATTTAAGAGGGTCAATTGATTTAGATAATAATCTACCCAGCAACGTGATAAGCAGGACACTGCAAACAAGGTTACTGGAAGGGGGCGCTTCATAAATGGAGAAGAGAATTATTCTCGTGGTTCTATCTATCATTAGCATTTTCTTCATTTGCCTATTATAACTTGCAAAAAGAAATATCAGACCTCTCCTAGAAAATCTAAAACACAGGAGACACTATTAATCCAGGCTGAAATATCAAAATTTTCAAGGAATGTCATATTCTCGCATCAGATGCTGGGGATGTGATGAATCTAAGTGGAGCATAACCTACATGCACACATGGATACATTTATTTCCTATTGTTTCAAGATATAAGCATAATTGAGAAGATAATTACAGATATTCTCGACATTTCGCAGCAGTACAAATTGCTTTGTGCCGCATAATATTAAACTGAATACCTATTGAATAAAATTAAGAAAAATCAGCCATCCTTTTCTTCAATAGAACTAGTTTTATTTATAGCACAAACCGATTGTGTGATTTTAACAAGTCATTATTAATGAAATTGCTCAAATAAATAGGTACCCATACCTTCTTACCGGGGAAAACTAATTGTGCATTGCTTCTGGATCGTGTTAAGACATGAACGCTATGGTCATCTGCATAAATAAATCATAGAATATTAATCTAATGGCACAGTAACATCAAAGGATATCTGAAAAGGGTAACTATAGTATTATGATTCTGTGACCTATGAACATGTGAGGGTTAAACATAAAGAAGGATGCCTAACAAGCAGCATGTAGACTGAAACAGCACATTACTAATCCACCAAATTATGACTAATCTGAAATGCTTAGGCCTGGAATTTTCTTCTACAACGCACACAAAGGAAATCAACCAAGCACCATCTCCATCCTCAATTGCTAACATCTAGAAAGGAAACCTCCTAGAAACTCTTCAAAAAGCCATATTTTCTTAAGTGAAATCATTTGTAACCCCAACATGGAGGCTTGTCTAACTGACCTATTTCTGATGTCAAAAAATTCTCGATTATTCTAAAATCAGAAACTAAAGAGAGAGCAGTAGCCGTCCTTATGTTTGCAAGTTGGAATTGAGAAAAGGGGAAAGAGATCTTTTACATTCTTTGCTGCTTGGTAGTTTAAATATAACCTGCGAGTAACCTCTGAACCAATCTTCGGCCAACAAAACCAGTAGCTCCAGTTATTGAGATAGTCATCTGCCTTTCCTGGAACAACAAAAAACTATTATAACATGATACATGTCGCTTACCTCAGCAAATTAACACCGTTGACATTAAACTCCCATAAGCTGACAACCAAAAGTTACACTAATTCCTAAAAATGTATGACTTTTAATTCCAATTTTTTTGTCACATTAACCTCATATAAGAGTGTGTACATTAATTCCTAGAAATGCGGGATACATCTAAGCAAAAAAAAAAATTAAAAAATAACAAAATTCTTGAATGCAGAGAGAGAGAGAGAGAGAGAGAGAGAGACGGAGAGAGAGAGACCTTGGTGGGTTTTGCAGGACCCGAGTTGCTGACACTGTTGCCAACACACACCACCTGATATCTCTTGAAATTGCGATTCTGGAAAAGGGGGGGAAAGTAAAAAAGTTACAGTATTATCTAACCGAAGAGAACGGGAAGAAGAAGAGTAGTAGAAAGAGGGGTCTCACGTGGCGATGGGGCTGAGGGATGAAGAAGGGGGGAATTGCGGTGTGAGGTCGAGAGAGCGTCGCCCCGCACGGCTCCATGATTGGGTTTGGGTCGAGGTTTTGAGACCGAGAGTGAGGATGCAGAGGCGACGGTCTCAAGAAGGGGGGAAGGGGAAAAAACGAGGGGAGAGGGAGAGAGATTTGGAGAGTAACCAAGTGGTCATCGTGTTCATTGGAGAGCCACAGCAGTCACAGAAGTTGATTATCGTCTCAGGCCAGGACTCCGCAAAATGCCAGAGCAGCAGAAGTGAGGAGTTTTACATGACTACCGTTGTGCGGTTGGAGCCGGACGCAGCCCAATCTTGAATCTACGACTCAACCATGTTCCTTTTTTTTTATCATCTCTTAATGCCTGGGTAGGGCTGTCTCAGATTGGCCCTTTGACCGTTTTGCCCTCAAAAACGGTCAAAAAACGGCTATTTTGTGAGGTTATTTTGGTCATTTACCTAGGGGGCTGGTTCTATAAATAGAGGGGGGTTTTCATTTGTTTTCTTCACACCAAAAACTCATCTCTTCTCTCTTATACTCTTATACTCTCTCTTATACTCTTATACTCTCTTATTTATACTTTCTAATCCAATCCCCAAATGGCTTCCGGATCTGATTATGAAGAGCAAAACATATCTCCCGATCCTGAATTGAGTCCTCCTACTATGAGTCCTCCTACTATCAGTCCTCCTACCGAAGTTAATCCCGAATCCGGTGGCGACGAATCTGCACCAAGAGCTCCTAAACGGCCAAGATCCGATGTGTGGAATTTTTACGAGAAGATCGACGTCACCAAGGATGAACACGGTAGGATCCTCACCCAGAAGGCTAAGTGTGCTTTGTGCGGCAAGATTTTTCAAGCTCATCATAAGAGCGGCACCAACCACCTCAAACGCCATTTAGATAAACACAACAAAGGCCAGCCTCCTCAAGGTGATATCCGACAATCCATGATTTCTCAATCCTCCTCTTCTGGTAGTCTCGGTAGTTGGAACTATGACGCTGCCAGAGCCAGGAAATGCGTAATCAGGTTTATCATTCTTAAAAACCTTCCTTTTAAATTAGTAGAAGATGATGAATTTGAAGATATGTTTAGAGATGGTTTTTATCCTGCATTTAAAAAATTTTCTCGTCAAACCTGTCAACGTGATATTTTAAAATATTATCAGCAAGAACAAGAAAAAATAATTTCTTATTTTAAAAATTTAAACTGTAAATTTTCTTTAACTTCTGATATTTGGACATCTAGAGCACAAACTGGATATTTATGTATCACAGCACACTGGATTGATGAAAATTGGCAAATGTTTAAAAGAGTTGTTTCTTTTATTGCAATAGAAGAGTCACATACTGGTGCTAATGTTGCAAATTTAATAATTGAAGAACTTATGAAATTAGAAATTTCACAAAGAATATTTTCTCTTTCACTAGATAATGCAAGTAATAACAATGTAGCTGTTGATTTTATCAGATCATCTTTATCATTGCCATGTCATGGTGATCTTTTTCATATTAGGTGCATCTGTCATATTTTAAATTTAATTGTTCAAAGTGCATTTACTGAAATTAAACCCATGATAGAAAAGGTTAGAACAGTTGCTTACATGCATAGTGCTTCTGAACAAAGACTTAAAAGATGGAAACAATTTTGTAAAAGAAAAAATGTAAAGCCTAGACTAATTCCAAAAGATGTTGACCATAGGTGGAATTCCACATATGCAATGTTAAGTGTAGCAATAGAATATAAAGACATTATAACTGATTTTATAAACTATTATGCTTCTAGTTCTAGTTCTGGTAGCACTTATGGAATAACTGAAGATGAATGGACAGTTATATGTAATTTAAATGAAATGTTACAAGTTTTTTATGATGCTACCATGTTATTATCTGGCTGTTATTATCCAACCATTACTTTAGCTGCTTTACAAATTTTAAATATTCAAAATTTTTTTGATAAATATCGTTTGGATGCTACTTTTGGACCTATGGTTTTTGAAATGGAGAGCAAATTTAATAAGTATTTTAGGCCTATTCCTCATATTTTTGGTTTGGGGGTTCTTATTGATCCATGCTTGAAGGATATTGGCCTTCGAAGTTTGTTACAGTCATTGTATGGTGGACAGGTTATAGACTTAGATGATGGAACCACCCTGAATGCTACTACTCATCATTTACTTATTAGAAATTATTTTCAAACTTTATATGATGAGTATGCAGCTAGACATGGTGTAGCTGCACAACAGTCTGCAGCTTCGGTTTCTTCGAGCTCATCCCGAGCCCGAGGTAAAAGTGTAAGTTTTGATAGGTATGCAATGGTAGCCGAGCTAACTGGTGGATCTGGACTTGGATCGTCATCATCGGAGGTTTCTGAAATAGATGAATATTTTTCTGCTTCTTTAGTTAGATGTCAAGGAAATGCTTTAGATATTTTGCAATGGTGGAAAGTATATGGATCAGTTTCATATCCTATACTTTCCACCATGGTTCGTGATTTACTAACAGTGCAGGTTTCGACGGTAGCTTCGGAATCCGCCTTCAGCACAGCAGGTCGTTTGATCGACGATCACAGGACATGCTTGGATCCGTATACTGTACAAGCGGTGATGTGCCTATAAGATTGGTGGAGGTACGAGAAGCGAACGCAAGGCATCGATCGGATGGCTGGGATTGAAGATAAATTTGAAGAATTGAGACTAGCAGATAGATATAAAGAATAGATTGTAGTTTTTATATCTTAGCTTACAATTTGTAAAGAATTATTTTGGAAATAATTGCAAATGATAGTGATATAGGTGAGTAGGTGCCAACCTAGTTGGGATTTACTTATCTATTGTGATGCGATTAATTCCAAAATAAATTTGTACTTGTAATTTGTAACTGATTTATCAATTATTAATAAAGAATATGTTTTTATCATTTCTTATTTGTAATTTATGTCATTTTAAGTAATTAATAAAATTATTGTTTTTGTTATTTTTCTTGTCTTTTTTTTTTATAATTTATAAGTTAAATAACATTAAAAAATTTTGGAAAAAAATAAAAAAAAATAAAAAAATAGGAAAATCACCCGGGCCAACCCGGAACCCGGCCCCGGGCCCGGCCCGGTGTACCCGGGTCCGGGTCCGGGTCCCGGTTTTGCCCGGCCCGGAAATGCCGGGCGGGGCCGGCCCGGATGGACAGGCCTAGACTTAGATGATGGAACCACCCTGAATGCTACTACTCATCATTTACTTATTAGAAATTATTTTCAAACTTTATATGATGAGTATGCAGCTAGACATGGTGTAGCTGCACAACAGTCTGCAGCTTCGGTTTCTTCGAGCTCATCCCGAGCCCGAGGTAAAAGTGTAAGTTTTGATAGGTATGCTATGGTAGCCGAGCTAACTGGTGAATCTGGACTTGGATCGTCATCATCGGAGGTTTCTGAAATAGATGAATATTTTTCTGCTTCTTTAGTTAGATGTCAAGGAAATGCTTTAGATATTTTGCAATGGTGGAAAGTATATGGATCAGTTTCATATCCTATACTTTCCACCATGGTTCGTGATTTACTAACAGTGCAGGTTTCGACGGTAGCTTCGGAATCCGCCTTCAGCACAGCAGGTCGTTTGATCGACGATCACAGGACATGCTTGGATCCATATACTGTACAAGCGGTGATGTGCCTACAAGATTGGTGGAGGTACGAGAAGCGAACGCAAGGCATCGATCGGATGGCTGGAATTAAAGATAAATTTGAAGAATTGGGACTAGCAGATAGATATAAAGAATAGATTGTAGTTTTTATATCTTAGCTTACAATTTGTAAAGAATTATTTTGGAAATAATTGCAAATGATAGTGATATAGGTGAGTAGGTGCCAACCTAGTTGGGATTTACTTATCTATTGTGATGCGATTAATTCCAAAATAAATTTGTACTTGTAATTTGTAACTGATTTATCAATTATTAATAAAGAATATGTTTTTATCATTTCTTATTTGTAATTTATGTCATTTTAAGTAATTAATAAAATTATTGTTTTTGTTATTTTTCTTGTCTTTTTTTATAATTTATAAGTTAAATAACATTAAAAATTTTGGAAAAAAATAAAAAAAATAAAAAAAAAAGGAAAATCACCCGGGCCAGCCCGGAACCCGGCCCGGTGTACCCGGGTCCGGGTCCGGGTCCGGGTCCCGGTTTTGCCCTGCCCGGGCCCGGATTTCCGGGCCGGGCCGGGCCGGCCCGGCCCGGATGGACAGGCCTATGCCTGGGTCAGCTTTCACTGCTTACCTGCACCCGCTCTATCTCATCTGCCTTTATCCGTGTCGTGTGAACATGAGTCTGACGACGAGCCCATGCAGTTTTTTTTGAAGTACACAGATCTTTAGTGAGATGTAAATACATACAACACCACCGACAACAAAAGCGAAAGCTTTTAGAGAGACATTTGATATCAGCTACAAATGAATGTAACCACTAATTACATGCGACAATACGCCCCTTATCGCCTTGGTGGTAAAAAACTTTCAGACAGGTACCATCGTTGAGAAATGAAAGACCATAATTCTTTTGCTTTCAAATAAAGCAGAGCTCCAAAATAAACGAGGAAACTAAAACTTAATTGTTTCTTCCATCCTTATTGCCTTGGCGGTAAAACTTTGGGTAACCAGGATGACAATTAAAAGCTCAAGCTTTTCCTGCCAAGCGCTATGCAAGCAAGTGATACTAATGCAAAGCAATGCCGGCGCAGTTTTTCATCTTTTTTCTCCTCCGATGCTACTCACAACACAAAACAAAATTACAACAAGGGCTTACACACGGAGCAGGTCAATTCTATCATATTCTCTTCGACGAACTTAAACCCAAAAAAGAAAAAGCAAAGACATACTTTTGGAAGGTCAAATAATTCAGAAATATTCAACATGATAGTATATATCCAGAATTACACCATTGGCCCTGACTTGAGCAACGAACCATTTGTGAATAATTCGTAACCACATTCAGTGTAATAGACGAGATGGAACACATTATTATTAAAGAAACAAGCCCGTATATAATACTAATACTAATGAGCTGTCTTTCCGCGACCAATTTTGATCTGCATTCTGAAAATGGCAAGAATGATCACAGGAATTTCACCAAACATATACAAACCACCCCAGCTGTAGCAGATGCAAGCTTAGGTCGCAGCATTTTTTTATAAAACATGCAAGTTTTCATTACAATAAGAGTTCCCAACCCCAATAGATCCTGTGATTAGCTTCCTCTTAATGACAATAATATTCTCCAGAAAATGGGGGGAAAGCAAGGAAGACCCCCATGCAGAAAACATCTGAACAAGGACGAAGAGTAGATCCCGGTTGACTAACTTTAACTCACCATATGTGACTGGTGATGAGGACACTAGCATTATTTATGAGCATTCCCCGCCCAAAAAGAACACAAAGGCAAAATCAAAGATCCTACTCCACTGGGAGTGAATTAACCTCCTTATTACCCATCACAAGCTACTAACCTCAAATAATTGCATGCATTATAAAGAGAAGATCAAACTTCAAACAAATTAAGACATGTATGGAGGAAGTGACCTCCACTTTGGAGGAAGGACAACAGGCATTATGGTCACTCACGAAGTTTGTATTATTATAAGAACCGGACATTGTATCATGTTAACAAGATAAAATAAAAAGAAAAGGTATCACCCCTGGCTTGAGCAAGCCTAAGTTAAATGTCTTTATACGCTTGTCTTTCCCTTTTCTTTATCAATCAAACCAATGTAAAGTTTGTAAACACACCAGTACCACGGATTAAGGTAAACATGTGCTTTGGTTAAAAAAATTCCTGCGATATGATGTGTCACAGGGTTGCGGCTTATAACATTTTGCACATTGCCTGGGAGTTTAAGGAAGCCAAAACATTCACTCAAGGTTGAGATAATCAACGAGGGCTTCCAGGGTAGCCAGCTAACAATCATGTTATCTTTATTGTTTACTGATGTGTAAAATGCCAGAAACAACAAGATGCAGGGGTGACACTATAGTTAGTAGGAAATAAGCTTACATGACTAGCCTCATGCTAAACATAACTAGCATAATATTGGGGTTTGGCCGCATAAAAGAATGGATAGTTTCCAAGTGATACTAAAAATCTGACAGAGTATAGTGGCATCTTATAGAAGAGAAAATAAGAAGATGTGGTAAACCTCATAGTTCAACATGGCAGAAGATTACGGAAAATTGATAAAGCTCCCTTTAAGTATTAAGGCAAGTTGAAGAAACTCAAAACTAGGAAATATGTGAAGCCAAGGCAAACACGAGTTGCCCTTTGCTTGCAGTTTACAAAAGTTTCATTAATTTTGTTAGCTGTGATGTTGATCAAAGACTGCAAAAATAACCTCCTACAGCGACACCTACAGCAGGTAAAGTCTGAGGGGGGGAAATCTTGTAGAAAAATACCACACGAGGCAATAAAAAATTCAGTCCATACATTGTTGAACCGTGATTATGCTTTTGTGGTTGCTCGTAACCTGATACGTGGGTTTGGAGCCGTTTGAGCAAAGGAAAATTCAGCAAAACCCTACGTTATGATAATCTAAACAAGGACAAATTTTGAACACCATCCGATTTACAAAAAAAGATCGCAAAAAACGACCTCTTCTAAAAATAATGGTCAAAACCGACATAGTTTCAGCCGTCGGGCTGAAACTGGGTCGGTTTTGACGAAAAAAACTATGAAACTTCACGGGACTCCAAGTCCCTCTAAATAAACATAGTGAATCAAGTGACTAGCATGCATGGACACAAACATCAAGGATATTGGCATCACAATCTGCTACACCTACTAGAAAGCCCTTTTACAAATGGTCAGGGTAAATGAAGCTAAGTCAAATGAACAAGTGGTGGATGCATATAAATATGTTAGAGAGCAAAAGTTCAGAACCATGTAAGAAGTTGCATAGATGCTTCATGGCAAAAGTAAACAAGTTTTCTTTGAAACAAAAAGAAAACAATTGCTGCCGAGAAGATCAAAATATTCAATAAGATTTGACTACAAAGTTCCTGATTGATAACTGATGCCAATGGTGTCTTCGAGGAGGCAAACATCATACTTATCTACCAGTATTTTTGCTGACTGAACAGAAACATACATTAAAAAAATGAGAGAGAGAGAGAGAGAGAAATTTGTAGTAACAAGACTATAAAAAGTTTTCAACTGATCAAAAAGCACAAGACCAAACTCCCATCGGCAACATTACACAGCAGAGAAATCCATCCCGTATCAACATAAGAAAGCAATCATGCCGAAGACGGAGCAAAAACCCTAACCCTAGATTGGGGTAGCATTTCACAATAATAACTAGATGAGCTTGAAGGGGAGGGGCCAAGGGGTGGACCTGGGGACCTCGACCCGGTCCTTGATCCTCTCGATCTTCTTCTCCTTCTTCGGCCTCGCGTTTCCGTACGACCCCTTGAACCGCTTCCCCCTCTTCGTCTTCTTGTCCCCTCGCCCGCACGTCACCATCCCGCTCTCGACCGAGGCTGCCAACAGACGGGTGTCGCGCAGAGAGTGCATCGCTCGCGCTCCGTCAGCTGCGTCGCCCACCGTCGTCGCCGCTCTCGCCACCCACCGCAGCCGCCATCCGACTGACCTCTTCTTCTCGATGCCCACCCCTTGGCGCGCGGACTCGCCCAGACAGTCTTAAAGGCCTTTCTCATCGTATTTTTTCTTGTTGGGCTTTAAAGTTTTGTGTTTCGTCAACTGGGATCCGGCCCAAGTGAGTTCCCTTTTGTTGATTGTTGTATGTCACAATTACCAGCTGTATTATGATTTTTTTTTTTAATACGAGAAGACATGTTTTGTTAAATAAATAATCGCCAAGTTAGATTCTAATATTTATGTAGTGATTTGATACTTGATATAATTTTTTCCCCCAAATAAAAACATGTGGATCTATTTCAATTCTTGTTGAAACATGTTTATCTACAAGTTTAAGCCTTTAGTTCATAAATGGGCCGCACCGACATTCGTCGGACTTTTGCTCCCTAATCCATTTAAAATAATGTTAGAGGCACACTACTCATCCATTTATTCATGAAAACACTCCTCTCAACATCCTTACTGTTCAGGTTATGTAGTTCGGATCTTGCGGCGTCAATATCATTAGAGGCTCACGATAAGCCTCTTTTTCTTATTGCTACTACACTTCTTATTAGAATTGTCCGCACGAGACGAATAATTCTAAGCCACAAATAGGAGGGGCAAAATTACGGAGCTACTCCATATCATATCATACTCCATTTAAAAAGCACGAGCTAGAAAAAATTTTCTATAGTTAATATTATCATTTACTATTTTGAATATTTAATTTAAATTTTATTCTATCATATTCAGATTATATCTCATACTAATCTCACGTGAACTAACTGTAGCTTAATAATTAAAAAAATAAGATTAATAAAATACATGAAATACATTTTTGAATATTTCATTTTAATCCTAATCTATCCGAATACTAATTATATCTTATACTAATCCCATATGAACTACCTATGGCTCAATAATTTAAAAAAATTAAGAAATCATATATACCTAACATATTATAATACATGAAGCATTACCAAAAAAATTCCAAAAAATTTAAAAATTGAATAGAATTCCAAAAAAAACGTCCTAAAATTTTAAAACTTACAAACAACATAGGTGAATTTAAAGATTACCAATATGCACTTTTCCCTTTGTCTACAAAGCAAAACCACAAGACATAAATGAACTCATAGTAGGCAGTGAAGCTGGATATGGGTCGCAGCTCAGATGTGATATTTTGCCCTTTATCCAAAAAGCAAAACCACAAGATATAAATAGTTTCAAAATAATCAATAAACATAACAACTATGTTGTAAACTTGACAAAGAAACTGTAAACTTAACAACAAATCCATAAGCTTAACAACCAAAGTCTATCCTCAACAACCAATTAATAACCTTAATAATAAAAGCATAACCTTTACAAGTTAACAGTAACATTCAAAACGAATAGTCACAATTAAACAGTAGCATTCAACATTCACAACTTCTCAGTATCCTTCACAAGTAATACATCATGCAACATGATAAACAACATGAAATTACGGTAAAAAAAATTGTTGGCATATGCTTCTCTTTATCTCCTCTCTGTAGATCTAGGAGCGCTCTAGAGGCATCGTCGGTGTCGCTGGTGGTGCATGTGCTGCCCTCTAGATCTGGGTTGGGGTTGGCTTTATGGGTTGAGCTGAACTTCTGGGACGCGAGTGGCTGGCTGTGATAACCTTTAGAATATCAGCAATTGAAGCGTCAGTTTTAGACCATTTCGCTGTTGTCTGGGGTCTTGTTGAGACGACGTACTATGACACGTCGTTGTCTTTGCTGAATTCGACGGGGATGACTGCTTTAGGAGTTGTCTTGTGGGCCATTTTCCCCAATTAATCTCTGGGGTTAGATGATTTAGGGTTAGGGTTTTGAAATGAGGAAAATGCTTTGGAGTCGGTTTGCTTGGACAAAAGACAAATGAAATGATACGAACGACGAGGAATGGTTTAGATAAACGAGAGGCGGTTAAATCAAAGGGAATTTTGGGAAGATCACGTTGGTTTTAAACAGCGTTTCACGTGGGGGTGTTTGGAGGCTAGAGGAAAACCGCGAATGTTTTTGGGAGAGAAGGGACCGTTGACAAAGTTATGAGGGGCGGAACACTCTCACTCGTTTTGAGGCTAGAGACAAACTTCCCAAAAAATAAACAAACAATGAACACTCTTGACTCGTTTTGGGGCTAGAGACAATCTTCCCAAAAAATAAACAAACAATGACCATCTCGATCTAGTCTCCCGACTCTCCCCTTCCTTGCGGGATTTTGAAAATAAAAAAAAAAGAAAAGTCGTAGTGATTTACCTAAAGCCTACGACTTACACAAAGCTCAACCATTAAAACCGCCATGAATGCTCACATGTTTAGCTTGTAGCCAAGGGACAAAGCCTGCTCCTATTCATCACCGTCCCCATTTCCTCCCCTCTTTTTTTTTTTTTAATTTTCTTGCCCGATCCTCCCCTCACCTCATTATCGCCTAATAATAATAATTTCCATCATTTTTTATATGATAACTGTCCCTTTAATCTCTCTCCTTCCCAGTAATAATAACCGTTACCGCACAAGCCCGCCTTCTCTTAGCCAATCACCAGGCGACACGTATCAGGTATAAACCCGCTGTCCGCCGTTTGGCAGCAGAAAACAGACAGCTGCAGCGTGCAAAATTCCCCGCCTCCCCTTTCAATCGCCTCCTCTCTATTTTTACACCCCCCCTGATTATTTTAATTCTCCCCAGTTTTTGCTTTAAACGTCTTCGGTGGTGGAATCCTCAATTTTCTTTTCTCTCTCCTCAGCCTCCTCCGATGCCTCTCTTGACCATCCGATCTCAAAAAAAGGTTCGAATTTTCGAACCGGATGGGCAAGTGTCGAGGGCAAGAACATCGCCGTCCTCGACGACGCCGGCCGGATTGGCGACCGGGAGACTCAGCGCGCCGGCGCCTTCCCCGCTTTGCGGCCGTCGGCCAAGCGGGACTGCGACGCCGGTGCACCAGCCAGCTGGCCCGAGCCCGATACCAGGCGGGGACTCCATCGGCCGAGCGACCAGCCCACTGCCGGCCGGCGTGTCTCGTCCCGCCGGGAGGACCCCGCGGAGATTCTTGCAGAACCTGGCGTCGGCCGTTCCGCCCGCTGTCGCCGGCGAAGCCACATAAAGGCGGCCGCTGGCGAAGAGGCCAGCGGGAAGGCGAAGGTGAAGGAGAGCCGGTGGTGGAGGAGAAGGCGAGGCCGCTGGACAAGAATTTTGGGTTCGCGAAGAACTTTCGGGCCAAGTATGAGGTCGTGAGCGAGGTGGGGAGAGGGCATTTTGGGCATACCAGCTCGGCCAAGGTTAAGAAGGGGGAATTCAAGGGACAGATTGTTGCTGTTAAAACCATCCCTAAAGCTAAGGTGCCCGCATTACCACTTGAAGATTGGATTGTGTTTAGTTAGCTATGAATGAATATGTTGTGTGTTTAAATGCTAATAATCCTCATATTTATACGGACCAATTCAAGCATTAGTTTTATAATAATGTTAATGTTAGCGCATTTTAGTAAATTGGTATCCATGCCAGTGTTTCAAGTGTTATTTCCACAATGTAGACTTCATGTTAATGCCGATGCGCATTTTACTTGTTCAAGCTCTAAGCTTCTATAATTTCCCTCTTTCAACTATATATCCATATAAGATATCAACCACGACACCATAACTAAAATTTATGCTTCTAGCATAATTGAGTGAACCATAATGATACGCATTATGTTATCCGGATATTTCTAACTCTAGAACTTTGTTGTCTGGATCCAAATATGGCTGGTGTCATTAAAGTCAATTCTTTAGTTTTTAGAAACGCTTGGAGTTTGAAAACACGTATCTTTAGATTTTAGGATAATGGACATTCTAATAAGGTATTTAAATGCTTGTGTTACAATTCAGCTGTTGTTGTTCCATGTTCGCAAGACCAGTACATTACAGACTTCACAATTTGGACATGTTTTATGGTTCATATGCAACAAACAGTTTAGGAATAGGAGAGTTTGACGAGGCTTAGAGCAACATATTTTCCATGACTTGGACATGCATGTTAGCTACAAAAAAAGTGAGCCTGAAGCAAAACGGTCACTTCATATGCAGTGTTAATTACGAAATCAAGCCTAATATCTTGAAGCTAATATCGGGAAGTCCAACATGTCAGCTTGAGGATATGCATGTACAGCATTGTTCATGGTTTGCATGTTACATTAGTGTTCAGGCTGTTTTGTTTAGTAGACATGAATTTCTCTTTCCAACGAGTAATGCCTATCAGTTGTTGTTGATCAAAACTTACGACGCGGCCCCCCCCCCCCCCCCCCCCGGGGATAGGTTAGAACGCCTGATCGTTGTGTTTGTTGAGCAATGTTTAATTGACTGATATTTTCTTGTAGATGACAACAGCTATCGCAATTGAAGATGTTCGTAGGGAGGTGAAAATCTTGAAAGCTTTATCAGGGCATAAACACCTTGTCAAGTTTTATGATGCATGTGAGGACACTGTAAATGTCTACATAATCATGGAGTATGTATTAATACTTTTTCGTTTTTTATATTTCTTTTATCATTCATCAAACATAAGCATGACTGGGCATAGATCTATCGCATTGCTTCATCTCGCATGAAGTTAGTGGGTGGTTGTTCTTGCTGCAATATCGACAGAAGGAATCTGACTCTGTTTTAGTGGCATTTGGAACCAAGACACTTTAAAATTGATCCTCAGGTTCCGTGCAAGTAACCATTGTGATTTTAGAACACAATATGTTAGATTATGGGTAATGAATTTTGTTCATCCTGGCTTAGCAGAACTTTTTGTAGAATGTAATGATTGAGTTCATAATTCAGCAAGAAAAGATGCATTTCCAAACCCATCTGTTACTCCGGTGGCTGCTGAATAAATACCTTATTGTTGTAGATGTGGCTTTAGAAGCTTAATCATATGTTCAAGTTTTTTCTCAACCCTTAACTATATATGTTTCTTTTTTCTTATCAGATTGTGTGAAGGTGGAGAGTTATTGGATAGAATTTTGGCCAGGTAAATGAGTGTCCGCGGACTTACTCAAATCATATACAGATGTAATAATCTCTGTTTTTTTGGTTCAACCAAGGAGTTTTAATGAACTGTGTTGTCTTCTAATTTCTGAAGAGGAGGAAGGTACATGGAGGATGACGCAAAAGAAATCATTGCCCAGATTTTGACTGTGGTTGCCTTCTGTCATCTTCAAGGTGTCGTGCATCGTGATTTAAAGCCAGAGGTATGGTCACAGAGTAGTACATAAATTCTTATCTTTCATGTCCTGAAGTAAACCCATTCAGATGTCAACTAGCCATTGTGTTAACTATTTTCCTGAAACCTTTTCTGTGGACTATTAACAGAATTTTCTCTTCACCAGTAAAGAGGAAAGTGCTCCTATGAAGCTCATTGATTTTGGACTTTCCGATTTCATCAGACCAGGTAATAGTAAATGCCTCAATCTACAAGTATCTATTCCATTGAACTTCATGATGGGTTGTACACCACTTTTCCTAATGAGTGAATGACTAATTTGATTAATATCTGTTAGATACGACGATCCGTGAGCCGGATTGGAAGATTCAACTATTAATTCTATAATTTCGATTGGAACCTGATATTCTGTATTACTTGCCCTAAGTGATACATCAATAATTGACAATATTGGCACTTCACATGCCATAAGTTATTGCGCTATACTTGCCTTGGCTTATTTTCTTTCTCCTACTTAACAAACAACTAATATAGGTAGGTTAATTATTGCACGGAGTAATTCAAACTCCAGCTAATATGTGCCATTTGTGTGTGTGTGCGTGCATGTACATGTCAGAGACATATGTACAGGGAAAAAAAATTCCAAATAAGCCTAGTCCTTGTGCTATGGATGTGACAGAGAACTACATTCTTGTCTGTGTTGAAAATCAGTCTTCATAGTTACTACCTTCTGTATTCTTGAAACCTGCCATGTTTTGGTGTTTTCTTCTTTAGATGTAACAACCTGCTCAGCACCATGTAAAGAAGGCAACCATGCATACCTTTTCATATAACAAAGCAGATAATCTTGAACTCTTAGTTTTTTTGTCCTTATCTTTCTCTTTTTTTTGAGAAAAAAATAGCAAGACTAAGCCCTCCAATTACCATTAAAAGCATTGAATGAAATATACCCAAAGGGTTAAAAACATATAAAGAAAAACTCACCATAGTCCTCATACAATATTTTTACCTTTGAGAAAGGGGAAATAACAGAAAAGCTAATTCAAACCCCACCATACAAATTCAAAACTCAGGAGATCATCTTATGCCATGAATATTTATCACAACTCATGTCAACATTATTTAGAATGCTTGTGATTGATGCCCAACACTTAGAAACCAAAAACATGGCTTTTCTTAGTTGTGGCATCAACAGAAGTTCTTGATTTATCATGTTTATCATCATAATCTTTTTATATTTGCTCATAAAATTGCGAATTTTGGTTACAATTAATTGTCATTGGTTAAAAAGAACAAATGGGCAAAAAACGTTGATTATAGCCCATGAATTGTGAACTATGAAATATTCATAAATGCATAATTGATTGACACATGGTCGAAATGAACTATATTGGAGAAAAATCGTGGGTTATACTCGTGAAAATTGCGAGAAAATTTAATTTCCATGTGACTGAAACAGATGAAAATGGACATAATTGTAGGTTATAGCCCATTTAATTTGCAAATTTTAAAGAACACAAAGTTGATTGATATAAGATTGCAATGAATGGTATCGGAGAAAAATCGTGTTATAACCCATGCAAATGAAATTTTGTAGTACGCATAAATAAATCATGACAGTTGATCGAAACAAACAAAAAGTAACAAAAATTAGGGATTATAGCCCATGAAAATTACAATTTTTGAAGTATGAATAATTAGTTGCCTTGATCAAATGAACGATAATCGACAAAAATCGTGGGTTATAACATATAAAAAATCGCGACTTTTGAAGTATGGATAATTAATTGCTATTGGTTTAAAATGGACAAAAATCGTCGGTTATAACGCATGAAAACTATGAATCTTAAAGTACGCCGAACTAATTGCCAATGGGTCGAAAGACTCAAAATGGACAAAAATATATAAAATTAGAGGGTTATAGCTCATGAAAACCGTGAATTTTGAAACAAGCATAATCAATAGGAATTGGTTCGAAATGAACAAAAATTGACAAAAAAAACTATGGTTTATAACCCATGAAAATCACAATTTTGGAAGTATGCAAAATTAATTGTCATTGGGTTGAAACGAACCAAAATTGACAAAAGTATTAGGTTATAGTCCATGAAAACCGTGATATTTGAAGAAAGAAAACTTATGAAAATAGACTAAAATCATGGGTTATAACTTATGAAAATCATGAATTTTGAAGAAATTGCACTTAATTGTCTTGTGTCAGAATGGCATATATAGAAAAAATTATGGATTATATCTCATGAAAATCATGAATTGTGAAGTACACATAATTAATTATCATTGGGTCTAAACGAATGATAACTGACAAAAATCATGGGTACCCCATGAGCACCGCGTATTGTGAAGTATGTATAATCAATTTCCATTTCATTGAAATGAAAGAAAATTGGAAAATAGAATACTATACTTGTCAAGAGCATATGCTTTCCTTCGATTTTCCCAACGCTGGAGAGTACTTCCCACAACCAGTAGCAGACATTCCTTTGAGATGTTCATAGAGATCTTTTCTACTTGTTCTTACGCCATCATGTAAAAGTTGAAGTTCGGAGAAACATTACTGTTTTTGTGCATTTTTGTGCAGATGAGAGATTAAATGACATTGTTGGAAGTGCATATTATGTTGCACCTGAAGTCCTACATAGGTCATACAGTACAGAAGCAGATATTTGGAGTATTGGTGTAATAACCTATATCTTGCTATGTGGCAGCAGACCTTTCTGGGCACGCACAGAGTCAGGAATTTTCCGTGCTGTATTAAGAGCGGACCCTAACTTTGATGATTTACCCTGGCCTGCTGTATCTGTAGAGGCTAAGGATTTTGTCAGAAGGCTTCTAAACAAGGATTATAGGAAAAGAATGACGGCAGCACAAGCCCTAAGTAAGCTGATAATCTCTATCTCTAAATATTTTATGCATTAAATCGGTTATCTTCTCATATATAAATATATTGTTATTACAGAATATTTTATTGCAGTTTCTTTAAATTCAGTATTGCAGGAGTACTATCTTGCTTTCTTAAGTAATTCAAATGTCTATCCAAAACTAACAAGTTACTGCTGTGATGGCAGACCATCCTTGGTTGAGAGACGATCAACGGAGAATCCCTCTTGATATCCTGGTTTTTAAACTAACAAAATCATACCTTCGCGCTACACCTCTCAAACGCGCAGCATTAAAGGTACATATATATGAGTGAGATTCCTTATTTTATATTCCATCATTCCTACAATGTTGGAATTGCTACTTAGACTTTATGCATGTGTTAATTGACAATATGTTCAATATTCGAATTCGTTTCTTATCTTTGAGGAAAACATCATAAGTATTATTATTTGTTTAAATTTTTTTTATGCGTCAAGGAAAATTCTTTTATCTAATTTGTAACCGTTGCATATTTTAAAGCACCCATCAGGTCATATTTGTGTATGCTTCTTGGCTTAACATGTCAAACATGTTTATTACTTTTACTGTTTAATATATGTCATTCATCATGTATATAACCTTTCCTATTACTTGTGTGTTTAGTGACTTTTATCTGATTCTTCAGTCCTACTATTCTCTGCATGCAGGCTCTATCCAAAGCTCTAACAGAAGACGAGCTTTCATATCTCAGGTTTCAGTTTAAGTTATTAGAACCTAATAAAGATGGATGTGTCTCATTTGAGAACTCTTTCATATCTCAGGTTTCAGTTTAAGTTATTAGAACCTAATAAAGATGGATGTGTCTCATTTGAGAACTTCCGAATGGTGAGCAGCTCTTTTGTTATTATTAGAACCTAATAAAGATGGATGTGTCTCATTTGAGAACTTCCGAATGGTGAGCAGCTCTTTTGTTATTTTTTCCACTGTTCTTCTTGGATTTTTTTTTTTACTTTTGTTCGAGAGAAAAAGCTAAAATATTATCACGGCTGATTATTCATTGGATAGCAAGCAATAAATACCAGAAAGGTATTATCACCCTAAAATATGTTATGCAAAACCGAACTTCTAGAGTTTCTACACATCAAAAACAATAGTTACACAACTTATTCAAATAATCTTTATTGAGATATTATCGTTATCATGCTTACCATGTGGTAGCAAGGGCATCCTTTTTTTTTTAAATGCTGGGGCATGCTCTTTCCTCTCCCCTTTAGGAGTTCTTTCTCCCTGCGTAGAAGATTTCTTCCCTTGGGAACACGCTCCCTCTCCTTTCATTTGGTGTCTACTTCTTTCTCGTGAACCTAAATCTACATATCTTTGCACATCATAAGTAAAGTACGGAAAAAGAACTCCCCCCTCCTTACCCCGTGGACGTAGACAACTTGCTGAACCACGTAAATTGGTTTGTCTTGCTGTGATTGTAATTTGTGCTTGTTTCACCCATGTTGACGATCTAACTCTTCAAATAAGAATCCTTCAGCGAATCCTTCAAACAAGCCCCAAGCCAAACTCGAAGCTCTGATACTACTTGTTGTGCGCAGCGGAACTCGAAAGCCAAATAGTGCACGAACAAGAACGAGAAAGATCACAACCAAAACACAGGCACAAATCACAATCACAGCAAGACAAACCAATTTACGTCGTTCGGCAAGTTGCCTACGTCCACGGGGCAAGGAGGGGGGAGTTTTACTATTAGAGATAAAGAAAATTACAAATAGGGTTTTAAATCTCACCAAAACCCCTCAAACAAAGCTCTCTAGATCTCTCACAAATCCTCCCACAAAGGATGCAACAATCATCTCTCAAAGATTGCTCAAATCGTCCTTACTTAACCCTAATTAATCAGGTTTAGGGTTATATAGCAGCTGCTCATAACGAAACGGGTCCGAAATCCAAACCCAACTCAAAACCCGATTGGCGGTCGATAGCCTAGGAATCAACAGAAACAAAAAACATTACATGGTTTGGCCGGTCGCGACGGTCGACCGAACCCTGGCGGTCGACCGTCCCAACTCCAGAAACCTGCTTCGACCTGTGCACGTTTCCGATCGACGGCAGCTGATCTCGCGGTCGACCGGCAAGCTTCCAGACTGTTTTTCTGAGCTTCTTCAACATTGTTCGCCAAACCTACAAAGGCATCATTAGCTTTTTTCAGTCAATGTTTCCACCGCCTTGAAAAGCGCCAGCACTTCCGTTTATAAATTTAACAGAACCACTTCTCAAGGCGTTGTACCAGTAATATATTGATAAATGGGCATGTAAGCTTGCAACAATTGGTGTTAAAACATATTGAAAAGATTTTAGTCAAAATCGCTGTGTAAATAACTTGGGATGCTTCATTGCGACTCCTTTTTATATATGACATTTGTGTCTTTGAAATGTATGATATTTCCTTTTAATGAGCGCAATCATTTAGTCAAAAGTAGTGGTGTAAATATCCCAAGTTTTGCATGGATGCTTCCTTGTTAGGTGAGCTTGAGACTCAGTTTTAGCCTCATTTACCACCTCTTGCTGGGGTTGACGTCATGACTTTTGAACGTGAACTTGGTACCAATTTACAGAATAGGCGTCAGGATGATGATGAGAATCTTGAGCTAAAGAAGCTTGCACTGTGGAAATCATTTCAGTTTTGCATATCATAGCTTATTCTATTTACCTTAATCCACTTTTGTTATTGTGTCATACCGTCCTTTTTCTATATTGTAGTTGTTAGTTAATGTGTCCTCAATGCAGGCACTCTTGCAAAATGCAACAGATGGAATGCAATTGTCGAAAGTTCCTGACATCTTAAATACGGTGAGACATTCTAATGCCATTCATGTTAGCAAGATTGTTTAGTAATTATGCTAATATTGCATCTTATAGTTAAGTGTCATGTACCATTTCTAATGATAAATTATGATGTTTTTTCCATTAGCTATGTTTGTCGTCAGTAAATAAATCAGAAAGAATGTGAGCTCTGAGTCTTTTTAAGGAAAGATGTGCAAGTCAATTTGAAAGTTTGAAACTCGAATCACTGCACGCCCACTTAGACAGGGCTATACACTGTGAATAATATGTGAATTATTCTGTGTCTACTTTGTTTCGAGTGTTGAAACTGTAGCTGCTATGAGCTTTTCTATTTTGCACAGTGACAACATATATAGCTATGATCATATAAATTTATGTTCTTATCATTCTTGTATTCAAGCTCGAGCCTCTAGCCTATAGAAGAATGAATTTTGAAGAATTCTGCGCTGCTGCAATCAGCCCCTATCATCTAGAAGCTTTGGAAGGATGGGAGCAAATTGCCAGTACAGCATTCGAACACTTCGAGCAGAAGGGGAATAGAGTCATCACTATTGAAGAAATGGCTCAGGTGTTTATATAAAACATGTACCATGAAAGAAAGTTCTATCTTAGTGAAATGTTTACAATCTCTTGGATTTTTTGCCGACCGAGGCTACAACTGCTAATTTTTTTTGTTCAGGAAATGAACCTCGCCCCAGCGGCTTTTCCTATCATGCAAGACTGGATCAGAAGCTCAGATAGCAAGCTAAGCTTTCTTGGATACACCAAATACTTGCATGGTGTGACAGTAAGAAGCTCCAACATGAGGATTCACCAATAATGTCATCTTTTAACTTCTCGCTTATGTAACTGCATGTTTACCCCATGATTTCACATCTTTTCTCACTATACATATACAAGGCTAGCAATTTTCATAGCGTCCTCTTTCTTTTGCATTAATTTCATTTTTTACCCCCTTTCCTTTCTTTTGTTAGTATCAGTTATCTCGTTGAAGAAAAGGCATATGTTCAACTTGTTATTAATGTAATTTGTTCGCCGCAGGAGTTAAATATCTTCTCTTGGTACGTATATACAAGCCAGCAATCTTCATGGTCCGTTTTCTTTTGCTTTCTTTTGTTAGGGTGGATCTTTTTTCATTTCTTATATTTTTTTTAGCAAGAAAAATAAATAAGTATACGAACAGTACTCTTATTCCGTTTCTTTTACGACCACCCAAGCTTGCCTTCCTACAAAATCCGACTAAAATATCTGAGTCAGACCGCAAGGTACCCGCTGGATATATACGTCACCCACATTTTGTGCAATATGATGTTGATACGCAATTACTGCCAAATTTAAGGTCGTATTCAGCGCAACGAGGAGTACTGTCTTGACAATTTAGGGATGTCAGTTTGGTTTACGTCTCGTCGATCTTTTGAAGAGCAATTAGCAAATGTCTATCATGCTGATGTATTGTAGCATCACCAATATTCTCATACAATAACGTACCGCATTTCTATAAATTTGTAGCCAGTAGCACCGTATCTTCTGAAAATCCAACATCTCTCAGAAAATACGTACAATAGAAGTTGGGAGCTAGGGAACCGTATGCATATACCCTTGTCGAGTGGTATTTCTACCGGAGAGATGGAGAGGGATCGAGAGGGTTTATCGTAATATTTATTTTTAACTCATTAAATAATAAAAACTTCAGAAAAATCCTAGTCATAAGACTCATAACCTACAACCTGACTAATAAGTCACTTAATTACCTCCTAACTAATAATAAAATGGGACCTTGCGTCTTTTTTTTTGTGGATGTTCCCCTGCAGCTAATTAATTCAGTCTTAATTAATTAATTAAGCAATTAGCAAATGTCTATCATGCTGATGTATTGTAGCATCACCAATGTTCTCATACAATAATAACCACATTTCTATAAATTTGTAGCCAGTAGCACCGTATCTTCTGAAGGAGGGGAAGAGGAAACCCGGACCTCTGATGTGTATTGCCGTAATAAGTTAATTTGATAGGTGCGTCAATTAGATTTTATTTTTATTATATTCATCTGGTAATTTGATCATTCCTTAGATAATTAATTATTAATTAGTTACTATATATATATATATATATATATATATATATATATTCAGCAACCTCACAGAGAGCCGCAGTTGTAAGGCGAGGAGACTGATTGAGATTTATGGGCGTTGTTAGGTCCACCGTCCACGTCTCACCTACTTTAATATGCTCGTTTCAAATGTTTACACATGCTCAGCAAACAGTACTGTCATCTTAATTAGTGAATGCTCCTCTGCGTACAGTTTCTCAATTTAGGTAAAGGGGGGCCGTAGAGCTCTGACTGTCCTCCTTGCCCACAATTATATATTCTCCTCATCGCAGAGTAAACGATACTGTTAATTTGTATGGTCTTCGTATACACAAAGTTAGGGCGCGGACATAAGACAAACGAATACTTTTTTTTTTTATTCAACAAATATTTAGGGTTAGTGATTGCACAAAAAAAAAATGAGTACGTAGTAGAACTGGTGACTAATTAGTTGAACCCACCGAATTAAACGTATTCAACTGGACCAACAAGTACTATAAAACAAAATGCTACTCCTGAGACTTTGTTGAGTCGCTAGTAAAGAGATGAGGCAAAAGAAAAGGTAATATAATTAAGAACAATTTAAGCAACCAATTTTACACAAGTCATAAATAGTACTTTGTTGCTGACCATTAATTGACCCAATCCCAATATATGCATCCAACTCCACGGAATAATAAACGTACGTCTCGCTCGCCAAGGAATTTAGATGGTATAAGTCGCAATCTTCTCTTGTAATAAAATATTGTGAAACTAAGCTTCTCGATCTTATTTGTAAAAAGCCAGAAGAAATTTCAAATGATAAAGCGTAGTGGGTGGGTACTCAGTACTCTTGCATAGAGTAGGAATCCAATTAATGCTACAGGCATATATCTTACATGAATATAACAAGGGACATACTTTCGTATTTAGAACATACCTTTGCCCACAATTTACAAACATCCGGATTTTTCATTTTGATTTTTTTTTTTTTTTGACCTTTTTAAACGTAGGGGACCTAACAACAGAAAAGAAAATAATAAAAAAATTGTATGCGCATATGTGTATTGTTTGTGACCTTTTTCGTATTGAAGCTTTTATTATTTTTTTTGGCAGAAAATAACAGGGCTTATGTATTAGGTTGCTTTCTTGCTTCCCTTGCTCATAAGCTAATTTGATCTAAAGTACATAACGCTAAAGTACTAACGATGACGGTGCCTTCACAACGCACTTTTAATAACTAGTATAGTGCACGATGCGTTGAACCCGAAATTGTATTTCTTTGTTGTTCTAAATTTTTAATTATATAAGAACTTATCTAACACAACGGATAATTAAAGTTGTTATCCTTGTCATGTATAAATATATATTACAATTTTCACGCATAAAGTTAACTGCAAATGAACCACAAATATAAAAAGACTTAATCGAATTTAAATATTTTGATAGGTTTAATAGTAAATTTAACAAATAGTAAGAGTTAAAGTGTTTTAAAATTAGCATTGCATGAGAGTTTTTGAGGGAGAATTATCATGTTTGCATGACTAAGGGTACTTGATGAGAGCCCCAAATTACTTCACACCACCAACGAATCAAGTAATGTTAAGCCTTGATACGAGTTGCCGGACGAATAGCCTTGATCACGGAATTATCAAGAGTAGGTTGAGAAGAAGACGATAGAAAACACAAAAACAATTCAGTTTTGGCGAAGGAAAATACATTCTCTAGATTATGAGAAATAATAGATTACAAATCCCTCTCTCACAATCTCTCTAGATCAAGAACAATCTCCCTGATCTCCTTTCTGAATACAATTTGGTTTCCCAACCCTAGAAAAGTTGTGTTTTAATATATATCAAATACAAAACCTAAAGCGATCAGGAAACTGGAAGTCTGGCCCAGCCCGACTTGCGGTCTACCGCAGAGACATGTGCGGTCGACCGGACAGAACGATAAAAACTCAGTATCGACTACAGGGTTTGGCGGTCGACCGCAGAACCCATCGCGATCGACCACGAAAAGTCCAGAGACTTTTTCTGAGCTGTGCACTGTAGGCGTCAAAAAATGCTGAAAGATATCCAAATTCAGCTCAAGTGGAAATCATCCAAAAAAGACAGAAGAACACAAGTATGGGCTGTCTCGCACGCGAGACGGTCTTTACTGTCTCACAGGCGAGACAGTATTTACTGTCTCGCAGGCGAGACAGTATTCTCTGTCTCGCCCTGCGAGACAGTATTCTCTGTCTCGCCAGGCGAGACAGTTGTTACTGTCTCGCAGGCGAGACAGTGTTCTCTGTCTCGCCATGCGAGACAGGATTCTCTGTCTCGCCCACGAGACAGTTCTCAAAGGCTCAGAAACTGTTTTATAAACCGCCGACACGTGACCACCAACTGTTCAAGAATGTGGGAAACGTCGTGGGTGAGAATCACGTGGATAACTGTCAAAATAACGGAGTTTAAAACGTGGGAAGACAGTTAAAACGAAAACTGTCTGACGGTTACTGTTTTCGAGACAGCGTTTGCTGTCTCGCGGGCCGAGACAGCAAACACTGTCTCGCCCAGCGAGACAGTAAACACTGCGCGAGCTCATTTTCCTCTAACTGTTCCTAGGGGTTATAAATACCCCCCCTGAGATCGATTTTTGAGGGGGCTGATCAGAGAGCACATTATTGAGCAATTTAGAGCAGAGAGAGAGCAGACACTATTATTCTGGCAATCCCTTGAGATTCAAGCTTTGACTTGATCTTAAGAAGAACGACTATCTTACTTTGATAAGATATCGTTTTAAATTCTCACTTCAATAAACGAAGGAAGAATCATTAAACCCCTCATCGATTCAATCAGAATCTGTGATTTGGTGGTCCACGAGTCAAAGCGCTCCCGGCACAGGCAAAGATCTCACGCAAGCAGCGATCCAAACAACGATCCTGCGTTTGTTTCTAAGAAGTTGTAATTTTTATTTTGTTGTGTAAAAGAGGTCTTATAAAAAGACCATTTCTTTGAATTTATTGTAATCGATCGAAGATATAATGAATTCCACAGTAAGAGCAACTTTTGACGCAAACAAACTGACGACCACAGTGGGAGCCAACGGTCTCGCTGCCGAGACCGTCGTGTCGCAGCCAATCATCAAGATCCCGGTTGAATCCATGGTCGAATACGAATTCGACCAAACCAAGTTTGAGGAATATCTCTCATCATACTCTTCAAGATCTTCATTGTCTCGCAAGTACAAGAGGATCTCACAATTGAGGAGGACTTACATGTCAAAGAAGGCACAAAATGAAAACTCTCGCCTGATTGTTGCTGAGGATTTTACTTGCAACACCTCTGCTCATAATGACTCTTATCTAGTTAAAGAGTCATCAAATCAAAGCCCACCGACACTGACGAAGAGGGCTCGTCAGAGACAACGTCAGCGCCGCGCTCGTCAAATAGCTAAGGCCTTGGAACAACCCGACGGAGTTCGTTATCATACAGACTTAGAGTCGAGGAGGCATCGAGTGGTTCAGTTGTCTCAACGACCAATCATTCATGTCTCTGCTAAACTCACGACGGAGGAATGGACTATTGTTAAAAGGACTCGTTCGACCCTCAAAGAACGCATACAAAAACGTCGTGCAAACGCTGCTCATGTCCATCCTCTCTTACAACAAAGACGAGAAAGGAAGAAGGAAACAGTGGCCAAAGAACCACCGAAACTCTGCCAAGTTTGGATTCCAAAGTCTGGACTTATGCAAAATCAGCATTCGTACCATCCAAAACTTGGAAAGATTTAAAAATGTGCGGTGAACAAGCTGAATACTTTCTTAAAAGAAAGAAAGCTGAGAGAAGCCGACCGACGACATCTGCAATCGCTGGGAACGCA